AAAAGAAATCGCAATGAAGTAGGATCTTTGCTGTAAAAAAATTAAGTCCTCTCAACAAAAACAATGCACCGCGCGCTGTTTAGGCTTTCGGCCTGTTTGACGTTGAAGTTTCAACGGTGACAATGTGGTATTTGATAGGATAAGAACTTATAAGCAAGAAGAATTGATTAATTAGAAACTAGCACGGTGGAGAATTTGGAAATGACGGCTCGTGATTTACAAATCTTTTCTTGTGTTCTCCCAGCCATCCCTCGCGCTTTACTTCGCCAGTAAACCGCTTCAAGCTATATCGTCTCGGCTGAAATAAACAGGCCCATAGGCTGCCTTGCAAATGGAGGGGTTCCTTTTTTCATATGCGGACTTAAATTAAATGTTTGACTAAATTAGTTCAATGCACAGATATAGAGTGCAAGCAATATATCCGTGCAACACTAAATTAAAATAGTGAAATTTAGTAAAATTTAGTGAAAAATAGTCGAAGCGTAAATATACTAAATTTAGTGTGCACGTGCAATTTAGTTGAGAAGTGCACGTGCGTTTATGCACACGTTGTCCTCGGAGCTCAACTAGCCAGCTACACTTATAACCATTACAAATGCAGCTGGAATTAGAACCAAAGTCTCATGCTAAAAAGGTACGTATCTCACAAACTTTTCCGTAGAAGCGATAAACTCCTTTTGCGGTTTATTTTGAACATCAAGCAAAGATATTAAAAGGGCGCTGTTGGTTCTTGTCAGGTACGTCAAATAACACTGAGCTTTGAGCGATAGAATTCGTTCGAAAACACGTTGTTTACAGATATTTTTTGAGTCTTTACATTAAAAGTGCGTCTTGTCTTGATTTTTAGCTTAGACTTTTACAATAAACTCGTTAGAAAACACGTTCATTTGTGTACTGGGTCTTGATATTGGTCATTTTTACTTTAACCTAACAATGTCTTCTGTCTTGATTTTGCTGCGACGCTGAGAATAAAGACTGTTAAACGCGTTTTCTTGCGTATTGTGTGGTTATTTTAGCTTTAGAAGTGTCTTGTGTTGATTTTACAGCAGCGCAAACAAATAAAGACTCTTAAACGCGTTTTCTTGCGTATAGTTTGGTTATTTTAGCTTTAGATGTGTCTTGTGTCTTGATTTTGCAGCAGCGCAAATAAATAAAGACTCTCTTGCGTATTGCGTGGTTATTTTAGCTTTAGATGTGTCTTGTGTCTTGATTTTGCAGCAGCGCAAATAAATAAAGATTCTTAAACGCGTTTTCTTGCGTATTGTGTGGTTGTTTTAGCTTTAGACGTGCCTTGTGTCTTGATTTTGCAGCAGCGCAAATAAATAAACATTCTTAAACGCGTTTTCTTGTGTATTGTAGTTATTTTATTTAGATTAAATTGTGTCTTTTGTCGTTTTTGCGGCATCAGCACAAAGGAATAAAGTCTCCTGGTAGAGGCTCTGAAATCATTTTACTTGCGTTTGTTTGTTATTTTAGATTTGTTTATAGATTTTAGTTTTGATTTTGTAGCAACGCTATTCTTGAAAAAAGCACGACCCAAGCACTCTACAACACGCTTCTACGGTCCACTAGCCACACTAAATTATAGTTTGCAATAATTTAGTTAAATTTAGCAAAATTTAGTAAAAAATAGTTTTAGCTAGTGTTTCACAGATATATTGTTTGCACTCTAGTGTGCAAGAGCTGGCTGCTATAGATTGAGCAGTTCATAACAAAAGAATTTTTAAATCGAACAATAAAAAGAGAAACACCGGACCTTGTGGGGAGGGGGGGTTGGTCCGAACCCACATAACTCCCCCAGCCTACGATAAACTAGACAAATAAGTGTAAAATCCCAGTTGTCAGTTTATGGTATTCTTGCAAAATGWTTCAGATAAATGCACTCTATAGTACAGTTTTGACTAAAACCTCCGTCCACGAAAGATATCAGACGTGATCAGACATATCCCCTCGGTAGTCACCGTCAGTGAGAGTGATTTTCCGTCATTTGAGGAAAAAAATATATGGTTATCAAGTTTCTTACTGGTTTATCATGAAAAGACAATGACCTTCATGTTTCTTGAAAGTTGATCATGACAAAGGACCAAAGAAAATAATCAGCATGAAGTATAATACTTAGATAACAGACGACGGAAAATAGATCGCACCGGCCACTTTGGTTCTGTTTTGTCTTATTTTTTTACAAGTCTGTACTGAATAATATTTCGAGTAAAACGATTTCATAATGACTTTTTTCCACACTTATGTGAAAATTGAAAATCAGATTTCATGTCGAAACCATTCGCGAGTAATAAATAAGCACAGAAAATAACGTCCATAGCTTCACTACTTGGGTCTCTAACAAAAAAAAATGTGTTTATATATGTCAGTAAAAATTGATGTTTTCTCGTTCCGAAAATTAATTCTTTTCTAAGGAAGAAGGGAAATTCCATAAATTATGGGCTTTGTTYCCTTTGCAGAAGAAAAACGACATATCCTGAGGGCATCCTCAATTGAATGATCTTTTTGTGAAATATCAGTCTTTGATCTCTAGCATTAACACAGTCATATATATAGGTCTWAAATCTGAAGTTTTTATAGTAGACAGCTATAGCATAACAAATTAAAACGTTTCAGCTTTTAGCAAAGAAACATTTCTATTGCTTATTTGAATTTGAGTATATCGCTATATCAATTAACATGATGTCGAGATGCCTCGCCGTAATTGTTTTTAGCTTTTTTCTTGAATACATATCGCTATTATTCCATACCGAAAATTCACAAGTTAGAGTAAAACTAGTGTTTGTTTACTGATTAAAAAGGTGGCACAAACATAAAATAATGGTAGTTGATCGAATGAAGCAAAAATCTAAGACTATTAGCAATACAATTATAAGAAAGTGCTGATAGACTCACAAGAATAATAGAAGTTAGTTCGGCAAATAGAATTCCAATCGGATATCATTTTTTTAAGCGCGAAACGTCAGAAATATACTTGCTTTTTGCCCAAGCAATAATATACGCCYAACGCTTTTTCAGTGCKCTGTGGTAGTTAAACGAATTTCTAATGTGTTGCAATACACTCTATAAGAAATTCACAATATTACTATACATAGCAAGCCTTACCTGCAGTGCTAGTTTTGTTTTGATTCCGAGCAAACTCCATCATTTAGTAATACCGACGTCAAATGAGCGAAAAAGGTCGGTAAACACAGGGTATCTGGCCATGTGGCCCTTCACTCTTGCCAAGCAAGAGCACAAGTTTTCCGACCTCTTTTCATACAAAGCGATCGTACAAAATTACTTAAGGAGCATCCGAAAAAATCAACGAGAATTTGAAAATGAAATGATAAAAAGATTGAAGTAAAAGATTTGATATATTAGCTCAGGATTTTATCGATTTGGTATCTTCCTACGTTCATATCGTGCTGTCTTAAGCAGAGCAGAGCMCGAGAAAAACGGAAGTTTGTTTCGGTATGAAGTCCTCTTTCAACTAATTGGTTATTTTCAATGCTTGAGAGGCAACTAACCAAGTGAAATATATGCAATGGAAAGTCGAATATGAACGCTGGTTGTCAGCGAAGCATGGGTCTTTATCAATTAACCCAAACACCTGTTTTTCCATCGAGTATATTTGACTTACTCTCGAGCTTATTGGGAGTCATGGAAACATTGTCATATACTCATGCCAAGTGCGACTGTTCTAAGATAAGTTACTAGTATACCATTATCCTATAGTTAAGGCTTTGGGTATTATCTCAGAAAAATATATTAAAACCTGTCAGTGGTTTGTGTGACATTCTGTAATCGCGTTACATAAATAATATCGACTTGGACTTTTGTCACAAGCCCAAACTTCATTTTTGAAAATGGATTTTCAAAAGATATGATAGATGTCACTTAAGACTCCAAAGAAAAACTATTAGATTCATTAGAGTATGTTCAAGTGCCTCGGTGTCAAAGAAATTCGTTGTGTGATCCCTCGATGATGACCACTAGAAGCGTGTTGTTTTCTACCCCTTCCTAAAATATTTCAGCCTGCAATCCAGAGCCCTTTTCTGAGATAGCAATTTGCATTKCATCGTAGTCTAGGCTCAATACAAACACTTTTATTCATGCTTCCAAATATGGCGTTGTTTATGCTGAAACTAGACCACAATGCACTATGAATAYGATTTCAGCCGAAAAGGTCTTTTGCGATGTAAAATTCTCACAAATATCCACGTTCGCACAACGTATTCTTTTGCATGATTTCCGACATTTTTTCTACACAATAACATTGCAAAAGCCAAATTCTAGAACGTTCGCGATTTGTTTATTTACTTAAGAGATTGGTTTATCCGCTCAACATAAACATATTTGCAAGGAGGACACAAAACTGGGGGCGGGAGTGGGCCGGGGAAAACTGAATTCCCTGTGATACAAGTGTTCGAGTTTCCAACTCGTCAGTTTTAAATTACTCCTTAAATTGCCTTAAAACAGGAAATACAAAGARCCATGGGAATAAAAACAGTCTATTACAATAAGTATTAATCAAAAGTAAAACTTGATTCCGCTAGTGTGAACGTTTTACTTCAATTGACTTCAATTGATTCTAGGGAAAATGATATCTCAGAATTGATGAAACATGGATGTAAAAGATACCGGACTAACTRTCTTCCGTTTACGTTCCTATCATATCAAATGTTTTCCAATTTCAGGTAAAGACGTTAGTTGGCAGAGTTCGCATACATCACGGMAGTCTTACACTATTTATAGAACCACTAACCGAGTGTGCGTACTTAGTTTCGGAATTTTGCCAAGGTTCGAGAAGATGTTTATTACCCACGTAGAAAATGAAAAACAAGCAAGTTGTGTGTATTACGTGGATAGTTTYTTTATTTTTAGTATCTTGACATTTTTATTGGAAATAGTTTAATTGGCAATTTTTCTTCCTTGTTGGGCGTGATTTCCATATTTTTTCACATTTTTGGAATTTTTCTTTACTTATATATTTTTTAATTCATTTATTTATTAATTTATGTTTTGATTGATTTATCGATTGATTAATTAATTTACTTTATTTATTTATTTCATTATTTTATTTATTTATTTTTTTGGGGGGTGGGGGTGGGTTGTCAAGGTTGTCCTTGCATTTTACAAGTAAAAATATAAGTATCGTTTACAACATGAGCGGCCGTGTTGTATGGGAATTACAATCTCGAGCCGCAGGCGAGAGATTGTAATTCCCATACAACACGGACGCGAATGTTGTAAACGACTTATAAAACTCCAACACAAATTAACATGAATTACAGTGAGATAAACGACGAAAAATGACAAATAAGGTAACTGCTGAGTTTAGTCCCTATTAAGCATGCGCAATTTACTGCAACACAGAATATTTTGAATAATTATCCATCCCACATGGAAAGCAAGCCATCTGTTGCATAAGCGAGTTCTGTTATCCGTCTTTGATTGCTTCAAAACCTAGTGAAGGTCTATGATGCGACACTAAAACTGAGACCTTTGCTAGTGTTGGGTTGTCTCAATGGTGACGACCGTGTTGTAAATCTGATACAACCACTAGTGGTTGTATCAGATTTACAAGGTCAATCACCTGATTAAATGGTCAGCCCTTATTGGAGCAATAGCTTATGCATTAATAATAAGTTTTATAATAAGTAAAATAAAATCTTTTGACTGTCGATCGGTCTGCAGACTGGATCATTACAAGAGCCGTCTAATATATATCCTGAATCTCAAATTTCACAATGACCAGAAAAGGTCGAAGTGGGTTTTCACAACCTGATAAACTAAAACGTCTAAAATTTCCATTTCAAACCACTTTACACGAGAACCCATTTTTAAAATCGAAAATCTACAAAGTTTTTCATTAGAGGGATTGCTATACGTATGTGCGAATCGGTTGAAAAACTGCTGAATTTATGAATTCAACATCAGTCGCGTAGCGTGGACGTTTTGGCTAGTACGCACATGTCAGGGACCGCGACACATATTTTGGATTGGGGGGCTAACGACCGCTAAGGCGGGAGTATTATGTGGGGTTGGGGATCCTCCCCGGGAAATTTTGAAATAATAACTCTTAGGGATGCGGTTTCCAGCCTTTGAGGGGCATCGAGAGTATAAAGAAGGCATTAAATCCCGAAAATTTCAATATTTCCTTGACACTAATACGCACGTGCGTATATGYGTAAAGGACGCTACGCGCCTGAACATCTATTTAAAAGTAACTTCACATACTGACATTTCTGTTCTTTCAAGCTTGAGTGTCATTGTTGTAAGTGTTATATTGAATGATAATTGTAAATTGAATAAACTAATATCCCTAATATATCTTAATGAAATTCAAAAGAACGTATTTTAAGAGCCTTGCAGCCTAAAATTACTTTGTGTACAATTTATCATGATATAAGAGCTGATTTAGACTATTTTTTTAAAGAGGGTCTTTATACAAGGGCTATCAGCACTAATATAAATACGTGTTCTGAATATAGCACCTGAGGGATTCGGGTACTTGAAACTGCCTGTCAAAAAAATTTTGAAGCAAAGGAGCTATTAATTATTAATTAATTAGATAACTTAATGTATTTAATTAACCTAAGGCTCACGTAGGGACCCCTATGAACGACCTTTGGGGCCCATTGAGTGAGAAACATTACTTTGATATTTTGCAATCCGACAGTGTAATAAAAAAGACTGGATCAAAAATTGTTACATTCCTCGCAGAATCAAAGTGCCAGTGAATTCTTTAAAACAAATACAGTTTGCTATTAATTTTGAGTATTTTAGCCACTAGCCATCATAAGTGAGAATTTTTTTTTTTTATTTATGTGGAAAAATTACGTAGCTGCACCTATTTCCGATCATTACGACATTTCCGATAGACTTCCTAGCTAAAATATTTCCAAAAGTTTCAATGCATTTTATTATTAATTTATTGGTTTTGCAAAATAAAACGAATGTTGATTTTTAGACATAATACGTTGACGATAAGACTGTTTACATTGGGGACACACGAGGCACGTTTCAGAAGTCGCGATTACCATTTGGCGTTGTTACTCGATACCCAACAATTTGCCTAGGAACCCTCGGTCAATCAACCATCTCACTCAACCCCAAATATTGGGAAAGCGCGACTTCAACAACGAGTGCTTGGTGTCTGACCTAACCAAGAATTCTGTCAGACTACACCTTTCTTGGCTTTAATTGAAACAAAGTTGAACAGTAGGAGAACTAGGATAAGCCCGTACTCATCAACGCCGTCCGCTAATTCCAACCTAAGAACTAATGTTCTTAGCTATGCTCCACAAAGTCACGTTATCGAAATGACATCTTCGCCTACTCGAAAGCACCGAGATTTAGTTTCAATATATTCAACATATGCGAATGGGTTGTTGGTTGGTGGCGAAATAAGGTTCGCTTAAACGGCTAAATTCAACTGACAGATCCGAGTTGTTATTGCTTTTACGTGCAACCAGTCATGTCAAGACGTCTACAATGTATAATTTTAGTTTGTGTTTTTGGATTAAGTAACTGCGTTCAAGGTAAGACGTTTACGTTCTAAACTGATACATGCATAGACAGAAAAGCGAAATAATARATGCGTTGTTTAGTGTTATAAAAATAGCTTCAAAAGAGCACAGAAAAAGGACGGACTTMAGACGTATCGAGCACGACTTATTTTAATTGTGTTTGCAAATGATATGAATAATTTTTATGCCCTCGAAAACACCGAAATTTCTGGTTCGAAAAACTATGAAATAACACTTTGACAAAGCTATACTATATATTTATTATGAACGTGTACGAATTCAAAGCTCAATTTATTCCCTTTTTAAAGCAAATTAACCAAAAATTGCTTCTAATACCTCAAGACATAACAGCGGTTGAATGTCATCATAATAAAAGATTTGGCAAATCCCACAATTCTTTTTTTCCGCATTGTTTTTTTGTGAATTGTTTTTCAGAAGGAATCGATGTTGCGTTAAAAAAACAAGTCTTTAATTTTAAATCAGTGCTTTTATCATCGTAAGGTTATCGGACATAGATTTTTGACTATTTTGCAATCAAACAATAGATAATGCTGTTAATTTTTAACAGTGTACACCATTTTAAACATATTGTTTTCAAGATTTGACGTAAATTGTGCAAATTGGCTTATATATATATTCCTTACTTAGGAAATTGTTTAAGTAAACGTAATTTTTATTTATCTAGAATTTTTTGAGCATTTTTATGGGCTGTTATTTGTAATAACTCAATATTAATTTCAATTATTAATCACAGATAGAAGCTTTCTGAAGCAAACAATTGAATATTTTTATGAAAGTATATGAAGTCGCAAGGGCTTATCCAAGCTAGTGGGAAAGGGGGTGCTCCAAAARATAGAATATGGAAATTATGATATAAATAAATAAAAGAAATTAACGACACAACTTTTTCTACGACCATTGCATGACCTGTGAACATGTAAGTCATTCTTAAAACATGGCTACAACTGTCATGAGGCTATTAAGCAATTGTTTTAAGCTACGGCAGTTGTAGCCATGTAAGGGTGACTTACGCAGGTTGCACTAAATGATTGTATGCAACAGTTGTTTTTCTTGAGTTAGGTTTGTCCCCCTGTCAACCTCTGAATACAGTAATGATAATAAATATTAGAATAATATTTTACTTATTTTGTTTAAAATTTTGCATGAAATAAGAATTAGTATTAAAAAATGTAGAAATTATCAAAACAATTTWATTAGTTAAATTAAAATAAACATTTATATATCATATAATGATCTATGAAATACCTATATTTCTCCATTTCGTAATTGTTGATATTTTCACTAGTGCAAACAACACATTTGAGGTTTCTCTAGTGTATAGTACAGTAAGAAAAAAGGTATTTAATTGCAGAATTTGCTTTCATATGTAATTATATGATAAACAGAATATTACATGCCTTATTGGTTGCTTGGAGATGCAAATTTTATATTCTCCTGTTGAAAATTTTTCTGGAGATTTTTTCAACACTTGAATATAAAATCTGTATCTCCTCGCATCCATGTAATATCTTCTATACTCGTAATAGTAAAAAATAAAAAAAAATAAATATTAAGTATGAATTAACATAARCCAATAAATAAATAGTTGAACCATTTGTTAACCTACAGTACATGTATTGTAGTTGTACGAATCAGGTTGAAAAAGACAAATTATGATAATTATATCACTATTTGATAAATAATAAAATGACAGACTTGYCTTTATGACACAAAACATGTTTTGCATCCTTATGCCATCTTCAGTTGCGTAAGGTGTTATCTTCTAGTAGAATAGCACCATCCACCCTTTGTACAACTGGCCCCTGAAGATGGGATAATTAAGGATACCAAAACATGTTTTGTCTCAAACTCAAGGCTGTCATYTTTATTATTTAAGATATTGATATTAACTGTTTTTTTTTTACCAATTACAACAATATGCAGAAATTATATGATCGTTTTGAGACATATGGTATATTTCAATTATATATACAATGTATCAGAAATTCTGGGATATCATCGCCAATATTTTTTTCCGAAAGTATGCCAAGTGCTAAGAAACTTCAAAATAATATTGGTGATGATATTACATAATTTCTGACATATTTAACATACTTGAAATATGTGTCAAAATAATCAYAATTTCTGCATATTGCTGTGTTTGGAAATATGTAACTCAATAAGCAACTGAACTTGCATGCACAAAGTGGAGTTGCTTCACATTTCAATATGTTTAATTGTTTTCTTTTGACTACTGCACAATGACTATCAGAAAGTCTTCCTTTTAACAGCACAATATTATACAATGTACATCCAACATCAGTTTAAGCAAGTGCATGCCGTTGGTGCCAAGTCAACAGACGCTGTTACTCACACATAATTCTCTAGTTTCAGGACTTATATATCCTGTGGCATTCTACCCATTTAATAACGAGTACAAAGCATCTGACATTAGTTGCTACAGAAAYAAAGAAGGAAATGTTGTTGGTGCCAAGTTAACTACAGGCCCGAATGGAGTTCCACAGTCTGCCTATGACTTTGCAGCTACTAAAACAAACTACATTGAACTTCCTGGTACTGAGTACACAGATACTAAATATTCAATGACTATTCTTATTTGGGTATACCACTCAGGGTTTTCYGGACCAATAGTTGACTACGCTACTGATGGGTCTGGTGTTAATTTATGGATGACTGGTAAAGACACCTTATATGGAAAAATAAATAGCCGTAATGGCGAAACAAATGAGTTTCTCAGTAGCAATCAAATAGCATTGCAATATAGCTGGAATTATGTTGGTATTAGTTACAATTATGGCACAGGTTATGCTAAATTATGGGTTAATGGTATCAAAGTGCAARAAGTTTATGTTGGCAATATTGAACTAAAGACTGCAGGTTTGTTACGTCTGGGTGCATTAGACACTGATGACCGATATTTCCGTGGTAAGATATCATGTCTGCAGATCTATGATAAGGCACTGACAGCGTCTGARATATTGGTTGCTAAGAATAGATGTAAGAAGCCAGGTAAGTCAAAACATGACAGAGAGCTGATTTACATTTAACCTTGAATGGTCTAACAGGTATGAAACAAATCCTGACCAAAGTTGAAATTCATACTAGAGTAGAACTGAAAATTTAAATAAATGAATGGCCGAGTAAATTGAATGATTGATTGATGGACTGATAGACTGATTAATGGGTTAATGATTGATGGATTGATTTACTGATTTTACTGATGGAAGAAATGATTGTTTGATTGATTGGTTGGTTGTTTAGTGGAATAATTGCTTGATTGATTGATTGGTTGTTTAGTGGAATGATTGCTTGATTGATTGAGTGGTTGATTAGTGGAATGATTGATTTACTCATTGAAATTACAGATTTTTTTTTTTGAAAACTTTAATACTTATTTAACAAAAAGGTTTTTATGACTTAAAAAAAATGATTCATTAATTGATGCACTGATAAATTATTAAAAGTGATCAACTGAATGATTAATGGCATGAACACTGTTTCAGGTCACACTGCAATAGACTGCACCAAAAAAGGCAACACAGAGTGTGGAGGTACAATATCATCRGAAGCAGGTACCATAATGTCCCCACGGTACCCTAGAGAGTATCCTCCTAACACAAAGTGCATTTGGAAGCTTGAAACTCCCAAGGGTAAAAGAATCATGATAAGATTCAGGTAAAACAACAATAAACTTAACATAAAATTTAAAGAGAGCAATTAACTGACAGCACTACAGTGACAACACTACAGTGTACTGTACATGTAGTGATCACAAAAAACTAACCAATCACCTGTCAAAAATGTTAATTGGCCATATGTGAYGAAACAATTTTATATAATACATGTACTGTATATTAGGGATCACTTTGTTAAAAAAAACAGTGAAAAATTTATTTGCTAGATTAGCAAATGGTTCTCTAAATAATGATCGTCATGTATAAAAATATAGAACATGTTGWATTTGCATAAGGCAGAATTAACGACCTCACAATAACCATAATAACTTATAATTTTATTACTACGAGGATTGTCTCATTTGTGAGTTGTGAAGTAAACAGGAAGCTTTGGCAACCACATGACTTCAGCACATTTTGTTSCAAAAGGTCAAACTAGGTGTTCTTCTGTAAAAAGTTTTCATACTTCAAAATAAAAATAAACATATTTATTCTACTTAGAATTATGCAGTTGATCGTAGTGCCAAATAATTTGTTGAACTTTGTGAGGGTGTTTATCCATCGAGTACTGCAGTGTGATGTTTTAAAAATTWATACTTTTTTTGGATACTCTGAGACTTATAAAATGCTTGGAAAAAAGGCTGGTGTATACCAACTTTGAGTTGCCAAGCTTCTTACAGCAATGACAATTATGAAGTCTGAATCTATTATGAATTATCTCTGCAGGAACATCGACCTGGAGAAAGAATCCTACACTTGCGGCGACTACATTGAAGTTTATGATGGCTTCAACACATGGTCAACACGATTAGTCAAATACTGCAAATCACCAACAGATAAGCCATTTGATTTCTTATCAAAGTCCAACAAAATGAAGATAGTGTTTCAAAGTAATAGYGACAATCACGGAAAAGGATTTTCTGCCTCCTATATATCTGAAGATCAAGGTATTTAAACATGATCACATTGTTWAATGTTATTTTATCCCCCTGTAGCTCAGTGGAATCCAAAAAGTTATGTAACAGCTGCAGATCACATGTCAATGAAACCCAGCAAGTGATCTTCCTGCTTTTAGAGTACTGGCTGGTGTATTGTATAATGTATGCAGAACGTTGATGGCTTTCAAATCATGTTATAGTGCATGGATTCATTTTTCCATCTCCTATACTTAACTGTTTTTGCTATCAGCGTCATTTGAACTAAATGATACTGACAATTTACTAACCATTGTCACTAGTAGTAAACTGAGATCTTGCCTAAAAGCTTTTTTTTTTCCCAGAGTGATGGATTAAAGGGTATTTTTCCCTTTCTCGATTCTTTGCAGTATATTTGGCCCTATTTTCAACATTTTTCCCCCCTTACAATAGTGCAGCATTTGTTTAAATTCACTCCTTTGTGGCTTCACATTTTTGTTTTGCACTTCAGGTCAAGCAGGAAATGTATTCCCAAATCATCCACCCGCCCGTCCCCCCTCAAAAGTTAATAACGATTCAACATTAATCTTCAGACCATGCAGTGATCAAAATGCATGGCTCATGAATAAGCTCTTATCTGTTACTGTTATTAATTAAATGAATATATATGATATAGCTACATGTATTTATGATTTGCTGATAACAAATTGCTTTTTTGCAGTAAAACCAGCTTCAAAAGAAAACAATCTGGACCTAAGTGTTCATTACACTGGAATTGTAATAGGTGTTGCTTGTGCWGCACTTTTAGCAGCATTAACTATCATTGCAATCAATCATAATAAGCAAAGCAGAAGAAGACGAAGCAGYACCATGTCATCWAGAAGGTCAAGAAGATCAGAGAGTGTTTCTTGCACCGATGCTTCATTGCCGTCAGGAGCACCTCCACCTTATCACATAGGTAAGTTACACGTCATTTTTGTATTATTATATAACAATTCTTCCAAACTAAATAGCTTCTATATCAGGTGAGAAAAAAGATGTATTCTAGATAATGAAAGCCTGCTTGTTCAAAAACATTGTTTAAACATGACTTTTACTTTTAAATTTCTTTTACAAAAAAATCACCCCCAAAAAATATTCAGTAAGATGGTAATGCCAATCAAGCTGAAACTTTCTTATTTCTATAACCAGTCCAAAAATCTGGTAAATAAATTGGTTCACGAAATTGAAATTTACAGTTGTGGCTTTTCTTCTGCACTTTCATTTTCAAATCACTGACTTATAATTTTGATTAAAAAAGTATATCATCAATGTACTTTAATCTAATGAGAAGTCCTCATTGATTGTATTGATATGTAGTGTTCACTTAGTTAGTTTTTAGATTGAATCATATTTTTTGCATAAATTATATTAAGAAGTTGTATAATAAAAGTATGACTTGAAAACTCACCAYTTTTTTCATGATTCATACTTCAGTAATGCAATGTCCAGAGCTCTATCCACCATCACCACAGATGACCCCAATTCCATGTACAGGAGGCRTAAGACCAAGACCGTCTCCTGCTACAAGGGCCTGTATCTACAACAGTTCCTCAGATGATTCAGATGCCGAAGGTCTACCACCTTATCCTGGCATCACTGGTACAGAATTAAGAAAACTAGGACAACAAATATATCACTTAGCAACTGAGGCACAAAATACAAATATTTCACAATCTATGTCAAGCACTGATGATGCAGATGATCCACTGACAGAAAGCACATCAAGTATTTCTGCAACAATTCATGAGAATCACAACCAGTTTAGTAACCACTCTATAACTGGCTCTTGTCAGGAAAACAATGGTCATTTGCCAGAAATTTTGGAAAATGAAATGAGATCTCCATATTGTGAAAATGAAGAAGATGGGGAAACGTCAAGAGACATGTCATACAATCAGGAGCAGTGTATATGTGACATTCTGGACCATAATGGCAGAGAACGAGGTGATACACTGAGTAGTATAGTAGGGACAGTAGTGTAGAGTCACATGGTTATCAGTGACTTTAACRTCRGAGTTGGAGTGGCAAATGCACTGTGCATTAGATAATATATTTTTMAAGAGATGCAACATGTTGACACAAGATTCAACATTACTTCATTAGTCAAGTATTATATGACTGCATAAAAGTTGTGCCATCTGACAATACATTCAGCAATAACACAAAGAACCACAGCTAGGCTTTGGGATGTAGGAACAGTGTATCTTGGCATAMAAYTATCTCAATCCTGTAACTTCTATCAGTGCATTTAGATCTGAAAGTGCACTATGCCATCTTGCAAGGAACATAAATGGCAGGTTGTGAATGGAATAAAACAATGTCCACTTCCCCATCAACCATCTTCAATATTACCAACATTCACTGAATCAGTACAATATATTATTATAATTTAGTATATCTACAGTACTAGCATGTGTTCAGTTCCAGGGCTTCCATYAATAACAGATGCATTTGCACCTGATGGGACCACCCTGAGCCTTATACTAAATAAACTAAGATATATTCAGTTGCAAGCTACATGTAGGTACATGTATAGTCGTGCATTTAACTCAACTATAGTCTTCCTAGGAAAAACAAAAACATCCAAGATAAAACAAAGTGGAACAAGACAATGCATTGTTATCATGAATGCAAGTTATACATTTTGTGCTCCTAMTTGTTGTCATAGAGAAATAGGACATTTGAACTGTTGTAAAAAGAAAATTCTTGAAAAGAAAAATAAACGTTAGACCACTCAGGGTCAATGCTAGCCACCCCAGCAGGCAATTCTTTATATAAAGAAGTTTTACAAGTGGATGGCATTCCTTTGGCGAGAGGCAGGGAGACCAGCCCTCAGAGTGAGAAAGAGAGATGCCTGCTGAGGAGACTAGCTCAATGTTTTAGTCAAAAAGGCTCATGTGCACCAAAGAACCTTTGCATGATTTTCTCACATAGAATTACATAAAATTTGCCATTTTTGATTATGAACCTATCAGAAAACACYTTTCTGCAGCAAGAGAAGTAAAGAACAGTAAAACAAAAGTAATAATTACAAACTTTGATGGACATGGGACTTTAATTTGTTCCTTTTTACTAAAAGTACAAAATGTTCTATTTCTGTTTGACAACCGTTTTGCAACTATTGGCTCCCATTCTTGTACCCAGATCCCTCTCAGTTTCCTAATGGAAAATGGAAGGCTATCGTTGGAGATAAAGCAGGAGACACAGAATCTGGGTTGTATTATTATATGATGCATGGGAATTTTTGAACCAATCAAATCAAATAATCATTTGTTTCCAACCAGTGTCTTTGGTTTTCTGTTGGGAAACTGAGAAGGATTATTACTCCTCTGCTTTCATTTTCAGTGTCAAAACATGAAGAACAATCTCGAGATTACGCTTCGTGTTTTGACACCAGACACGGATGCGAAGGAGACTAGAGAAGGATCTGGATAAAACAATGTTGTTAGCTCCATACATTGTTAAATGGATTTTAAAAGTAAAACAATCACTCAGATAGTAAATTAAAATATTGTTTCAACTACTCATCAATTC